ACTCTTGAGAGGATCAAGCCATGATTTATCAGCACATCAACCTTTGTCAGCTGCCTGCTTGGGGGACATGAGATAGTTAACAATGACAGTCTTCACGAGAAGGAGTCTCAAATAGTTGCTGTGCTTTCTAAGGCATAAATGATGTATATGAGTTGAAAGAAAAGAGCAAGGCATAAGATGCACTTTCTTGCCTCAGTTTCCCCAAATATACTCTCATGAAACCTGTTGCTGCCCAAGGAAAACACCCATTGCCAGACCCCTCTCTCCAGTCTCTTTCCCATGGAGTCCCTAGAGGTTTGGTAGACTTTGCAATGGACAGATAGGAAAACCTCCCATTTTCTCCCAACTCTTTACTAATCAGTTCACACCCCTGGACAGACAATTTGTTTTGGGTCTTTCTGAAAATGGGAGCTTTTTCCCTGAAGACTTCTGGAGTCAGGCACCCTAGAAAACTCGTCATTTAGGAACCCACTGGTCTTCTTCTCAAACATGAGGTCACCTAGGTCTCATGAACACCCCACTGGGCAGGACACCACCTCTCAAACATAACATAGAATCATAGAATAGTTCGGGTTGGAAAGGACCTTAAGATCATCCAGTTCCAACCCCCCTGCCATGGGCAGGAACACCTCACACTAAACCATCTCACCCAAGGCTTCGTCCAACCTGGCCTTGAACACTGCCAGGGAAGGAGCATTCACAACCTCCCTGGGCAACCCATTCCAAGGCCTCACCACCCTCACAGGAAAGAATTTCCTCCTTATATCCAATCTGAACTTCCCCTGTTTAGGTTTTAACCGATTACCCCTTGTCCTATCACTACAGTCCCTAATGAAGAGTCCCTGCCCAGCATCCCTATATGCAGAAAACACCCCAGATTGTTACTGGTGATAATATTCCTGCTAGCTATTTTCCTGCTTTCCACATCACTGGGACGATAATTTGCCCTTTTCCTTTCAGTACCTCTCTTAGGAATACAACACCGTGGAGCAAATCACGTTCACCTGTAATATAAAGGAGACGGGATGTAGCTAATAAAGAACAAGGCAATTCAAACTTTTTTCCTGAGCCCTCAGGAGGAATACCCAGGTGTGCTGAGGAAGATATGCTTGGAAAAAAAGAAAAGAGCCATTCTGCAGTCAATCTAAAAGCACTAGGCCTCCTTTCATGAATTGATTTACCCACTGGGTGACATATTGGCAATTTTCTGTTACCTACCCAGTGATATGACTAAGTAGATGAAGCTTAAAGGCAGGTCAGATAAAAAGACTTTAATCTAACAAAGGCAGCCTGAATTTCGCATGTCAAGGAAGATGATTTAACAGGGAGCAGCAGCCTAAACACGATACTGAATCAAGGTGGAGAATCCATAATTAATGCTACACTGCAGAAATGTTTACTCAAAAACAGAATGACAAAAAGAGGTATATTTGCCTTTCCTATAAAGGCCCCCGTTCAGCAAAATACATCACTGCAGTCTTTATGTTAAACACACGCTTCAATCTGGACCTGCATGAGAAGGAATGCCTTTGAATTCATCTCTTTCCAGCCGGTGCAAAAAGGGTGAAAATCAGTCATGACAAGTTTCATAAGACACAGGCTGAGCTGCTGTAATTTGATGAATACACGAGGCCAGTTAGACTTGGCAGAAACCTTGTTCAGAGAATTAATTAAAGTTGTTTTCTCTGAGGAAGGAAAAGCTGTGTTTTAGGAAAAGCAGTAATATCATATGCAAGGGACATGAGACTTGTTCGAGTGTTTTCACGCCCAAGGGGTGAAATGCCTAAAGGGGTGGCTGGTCCTTGAATAATGTATTTATCTTGCAGTTACACTTTACCATTTTCCTACCAGGGTTAGTTGGATTTCCTGAACAGCAGCCCAAAAGGTAACCTCGTTACTAAACAGCACCAGGGGAAGAGGAAGGCCGCATTCTGCACCCCAAAGTGTTTTAGTTGGACTTTCCATTCTGATGATTTCTCCCTTCTTCCTTTGAAATTAAAAGTGTGTGGCTCATGTATTCCTCGTCCTTGTGCACTGAGGGAAACAGTCACTACCCGCAGCACCTCAGATGTACAAGCACTGCTCAGCACTTTACAGCTGGCACAGCATGAAGCCACTGGTGAAGACCAGTGCAGACCAGTGCCTTGGATGGCTTCAGGATGTCGTGCTGCTGGATGGATACAAAACCATGTTTTCCCTGTTCCCCAGGAAGCTTTGAGTTTGCCCTAGTTATGGACTTTAAAGGCTGTATAACCTGCACTTCTCTCCTCCTGCTGCTCATCCTCTTAGGCTACACACCTGTGGAGTCAGGGAGCATCTCCCACTCCTTATTGGCAATACCCTCAGCACAACGTGACCTTCGGATTACCTCCCAATTAATAACCCTCTCAAACTGAAGCAATGCAGCCTGGAGAGACAGCAGGCTCTGAGGTCAAGTACTCTGACCTGAAACCTAGTGAGCGCCCACACTGCAGCCGGAGGCCTGCTGGAGGCTGCTCCTTGCCCTGAGACAAAAGAAAACCCAGTCGAAATTCTGCACAAGACCCTTGATTAATTATCCTCATTACTCAATATTTTAACCCACCTTGTCAGCCCTTCCCACTCTGCCTTGCAGCAGGAATAGGATTTCCAAAGCGCCTGGAGCTGACGGCAATGGGGAAACCACACACAGACCAAAGTGCTGACAAGAGCAAAAACCCCGCTCCTCTACTCAGCACCTCCAGCTTCCAGAGATGCACACAAGCTCTGGCCAGCCTCCACTACGTGGGTTCAAAATCAGATCCTTCGCACTTAGCAAAGGATTTCCTCTGCTCTTTTCACTGGTGGACTGGTAAGACTCATCCTTGCCGCTTGAACAGAGAGGATTTGTTCTTAGCCTTTCTCCCCCTGCTATTGCACAACTGGCTCCCAGCGCGATGAAGAGTATTCGCATGCACTCTGCTATAAGACTCTGAGTCACAGCTGGGATTTAGCTTGAAACACACCTCTGGGCTCTAGGCAGAGGCATTTTGGATGGAGATTGTGGATGTGAATAAGAAATATATTGTGGTTTGTAGGGGGGAGGTGAAGGGGAAATCTTTCTCCTTTTTTAGGTCTAGATACCTGAATTCCAGACATGGCTATAGTACTGAGACTCAGCGACGTGTGGTTTTGAGGCAACAAACAGCCCCATTTGGCTGCTCTGGGCTTTTGAGCTGATATCCTGGGTGTTTCTGGTAAATCTCACAGTTCAAACCAGCAGCTCCCAGATGGTTCCCACCCTCATCTTCCCACCCTCAAAACTCTGCCACCTTCAAAAGCAGCCTGAATTTGCCTTCCAGCATGCTGCAGCGCCTGGGCAGTGGCTTCATAAAGAGATGAATGATACTTGCAGTGGGGCTGGGACCCTCCAAAAAAGCATGGGGAAGGAAATAGGGTGTAAGAACTTGCTTCAAGGTGAGGCACGCAGACATGTTCTTAATGGGTTTATAGGTAAAATGAATTTTTACCCATTTTATGTCTTTACAATAAAGAAAAAACCTTTATATATATATTTTTATATATGTATATATACAATATATATACATATACACACAATATACCAGAGAAGTGTTAAAAGATGTTGTGGAATGAAACTTTCATGGCTGAAAGTGTCTTTCTTCATTGCCTTTTACTACAGACAGGGGTTAGGCCACTGATTTTGTGGACACCAGCTCTACCCTTAAGGATAAAATCACATAAGCAGCGGGGAAAAAAGAGAACAAATTTCTTGGCCTACAGCTCAGTTTTGTTTTAATCGCCACCAAGTTTGCCCTAAATCAGGAGGAAATGGAGGGCTTTGGAGCTATTCTGGTGGCTTTAAACTTAAACTCCATCTCCCTCGAGATGAATTTGATACAGCTGTTTGCTTGTTGACTGTTCTTTCTAAGGTTATCAGCCAGTAAAACAACCAAATGTTTATGCTGCAACAAGCATGAGCAAACTTATCTCCTCCCTATATCCTGGGATAGGATAGTTTCACATTCTCCTGTGTAAATGTACCATACTAAATAGAAGAGTGATTTTTTTATGATCAACTTCTTATCAGAATCTTTATTTTTCTGTTGCATTTCAGCTTTTGTGACTATCCTCCATACAAAAAATAATCACGAAACCCTCAAGGTCTCAAGGCCAAAATAAAATAAAATAAAGATAGAATAAAATCAAATATAAATAAAATATAAATAAATGAAATCAAATAAATAAAATAATAAAATATGTAATTGTATAAGCAGAAAGTGGGAGGGAGAAGAGATTTGGCTTTGCAGCAAAGCTGCTTGCCTGAAGATGCAAGAACATTCTCCCAGCATTCAAAACCAGGCAGCCAGAACATGCTTCACAAGAGAGAACCTCCTGTGAACTCCTCACCTAGGTAAGGTAAGTCAGTGCTCACAAGGAAACACCCCACCACACCATTCCCTTTGATGTTTTCCCCCTGCAAAAGGGAAGGGTGGTCTTTTTAAAGAACTCACAATAGAGAGAGAAGGGGAAAAGGAAGCCCTTTGAAGAGAGGAGAGAGCCTCCTCTCATTTGGCTGCTGCTTACAAGCCACCCCTTTTCCTTTGTGCCTTGCACAAAAGCAGGTTTGAAAGCCCACTTCCCCCTCAACCATAGTACCATACCGAGGGGAGGTGGCTTTCTAACACGCAGAACACAGAGAGGGGAAGGAACTGCATGGCTTCACACATCAACCATAAATCAAACCTCTTGAAAAAGCTCCGTGTAAAGTTTAAAGGTGCATGGGAAGTGGCAGGTCTTCATGTGTCTTCAGGATGAGCAGCAAGAGCACTGATCCACGTGCAGAATCCCATGTCTTCCTGTGCTCTCCCTTGAACCAGAATGGATTTAATCCTTCAGAGCCTGGAGCATATCAGGAAAACCAAAACCCAGCTGAAGCTAAAACCACATAACCAAGAAGTGATTCCACAAGCATGCAACTGGAAAGTCGGAGGAAACGTGCATTTATCGATAACCTTGTTGTTATGACTTTTTGGCCTCAGTCTTGACAAACTGAGCCTGGTTCCCAGACCTCTGACTCCTAGCAGCATGATCTGGGGAGGAGAGGGATAGTGAGAGAGCAAGAAATAAGGGAAAACTGAGATAAACTGGATATGCTCAAACACTAGGGTCATATGGAACTCTCCTGAAGGTGCTGCAAACGCCATCTGACATGGCTGAAAGTTCTCTATCATGTCAATTAGAGACAGCAAATTCTTGATGATGGAAAATGCTTACATTATGCCTGTCTTTAAGACTGGGAGGAGCAGGGAACTTATAGGTTAGCCAGTCTCACCTCAGGCTCTGGAAAGGTCTGGGGGCTCATCCTCTTGGCATCCACTTCCAATGTACTGAAAGACAAGAAGCAATCAGTAACAGTCTACACAGATGTGTCTAGGGCAAATCATGGTTAACTAACCTGACTAACTTCTGTAATTAAATGACTGGCTACAACAACAAAGGAAGAGCAGCAGGTATGACATATCTTAAATACAATAAGGATTTTGTCACCTACAGCATAATTGAAGATGTCCCTGCTCATTGCATGGGGATTGAAGTAGATGATCTTTGAAGGTCCCTTTCAACTCAAACTATTCTATGATTCTGTGATTATCATTAGGATGCTGAAGAAGGACTAAAATGCTATACAAGTTGAAAATTGGTGGTCATAATTAGCTCAACATCCATTTGTCATATGGTAGCAAGCATATTACAACTAGCTGGTAACTTGAACAGTAGATCTTCAAGTCAGGCAGGTTTTTAGAAACTTAAAGATTGGGGCTGCAGAGACCTTATGAAGTATAGAAAAGACAGTGGCAGTTTCTTCGCCTTGGGTGAATAACCTTATGGACCAGTAAAGGTAGGGACAGGCTGAATAACAGTGGATATCAAATTGAATGTGAGACAACAACGAATATAACTTACTTTTTGCTGGGTTACATTTGGAGGAGTGACTGACCAGCAGATTATGGAAATCACTATCCCCCTCTGTGCAGCAGTACAGAGGCTGCACTTGAAATACTGCATCCAGTTCAAGAAAGATGTTGAAAAGCTGAACAGGACTCATCAGAAAGCTAGCAAGATATTTAGGTGCCTCTATCACTTAGCTTACAAGGAGGGCTTGTAGGAGGTTTATCTAAACTGTCAAAGAGGAAGAACTGATCTATTTATTAATCAGCGCACAAATATGTGATGGAGAGTTGCAAAGAGCCCATCTCATTTTGTTAGTGTTAGGTGTCAAAGCAGGGAGCCACGTCCACAGGCTGTGACCTGGGAGGTCCAGGTTGGTCACAGGGAAGAGCTTCTCTAGGAAAGCAGCCCCACACTAAACTGGGCCACCCAGAGAGGCTCTGCAATCTCCATCCTTGGGGCTTTCAAGCCCACAGTTGGCCTGCTTTGATGTTAGAAATGGGCCTTCTTCAGGCTAGAGGTTGGGCTGCAGACCTCAAGCCATCCCCTTCAACCAGCACTTCTGTGATCCCTGAGACCTTCAATCCCCACTAGCAGCAAAGATTTCAGATCCGTTTGTGTTGCTAGGCAAAAAAATATAGGCAAACTCTACACAGACCTCTTGTTTAAGCACTTCACAAATTCTCCCTTTGACAGTTTAGGGTTTCACCACAATCAGGATCATTTCTTGTATTTGCTAATCAGTCCAACCATTGACATTTGAAAGCACATCCAACTGACTAGACATGGCTTTTGTGGCTGGAGATTGGGCCAAGAGAGTAGGAGATGAGCCTGCCAGCAGCCTCGTGTGTGGATGCCTTTTTTTGCATGGGAAGTCTCATGCTCGCAGCAGCAGCTGAGATGCTCTGGGTGTCTAGACAGCACCTCCACTGTTCTTGTAGCATTCATGGTAGCTTGTCTCAGCATGAGGAAGAGAAAGGGGGTGGGGGAAAGAAAGTTTATGCAGATGAAAGTGCTTCCAAGTCAACACTGATTAATTTTGAAAACAGGCAGGTACTCGTGGGCGACTTGCAGCAGAAAGCCTGCTGAATGGTGTGTGCCTCTGCACGCAAGGCAATAAGAGGTGTTCAGGCAATCCTCTCAGACCATTCCCTACTTATATGAGCCAATGGACAAGGCATCCATCATGCACCAAATGCATCACCTGGCCCATGTTTGACCACACCAAAAATGCATCTCCTGTTCCCATGAGTCACATTTTGTACCTTTATGGCCAGAAGAATGAGCAGCTGCACACCTGTCAGCCGGATAATAACTGGTCTGGAGGAAAGGGCTGGTCAACAGAAGACATCCTCAGCTCACAACCACTATCCAGAGCAGAGTAATGGAAAGGAGAAGCTTTGAAAAACCATGAAGGCCCAAGTGGAGGAATGATAACATGCTTTATCCCTCATCGCAGCTATGTTGATTAATGGACAGCAGGCAAATTAGGAGTTGTCTGTTTTATAACGGCTTTCTAAAAACATGCCTAGAGCAACAGATGAGTTATTTCTCTTTTCTTTCACTTTTTTTTTCTCTATTTTCCCTTTCCCCCCCCTTTTTTTTTCTAACTGAAACACCTATCAAACTACGTCAACCTTTGTACTAGAGCAAATATGCAGATGGAAGGTGTATCAGCTGTAATACTGCCTATTACAAAACAAAGACTGAATGTTAAATCTGGTTCTCTCTTCTTAAATCTGGTTCTCTCTTCTTCCAAAAAAATCTACAACAAATCATGCTTCGTATCAGAAAATGAGTAAGCAACAGCATTTAGACTTAGAAAAGTTTCCCCCTTTCTTCTTTTCTCTCTCTTTTTCTCACATTAGCTGTGATGTTTTTGGTTTTCACTCGCAGTTCAAACAAAATTTGGATAAGCAAACAGCTTTTGGTTCCAAACACTTGACCTTCAGAAATGTAGCTACGTCCCCTTTCATCAGCACAAAAAAAAAAAAGAAGAAAAAATAATCCTCTCCTACTGGTATTACATTATCTCACACATAAAGTCATTGAAAAGGTTGTCTTCAGAGAATATAATACCAGGTTATGAGATATTTTTGGCACAAGGACAAGGTAAGATATTGCCAGACAAAGAAAACACTTACTTATAATTCAGTTAATGGCTGGCAAAGTTATACCCTTCTGCTACTAATTAATTTTCCATATTTCCAGCCAAACAAATGCGGAAGACTCTATAATCACCTAGGACAGCAATCTGCAAAGTGTTAAAACACCATTAAGCCAAACACTATTCTCACTCTGGCTGCTGCATTTGTCATCAGTGACAGAGGCTGAGTTTGGATCTGGGTAGAAGAAGGGAAAGGATTGCCTGAGATGGAAACTACAAGACCCGGTGCTGGTCTTTAGGATGTGTGTTTGCTTGCTGGAGTACAGCTGGGACCCAGCCAACTCCAGAGGGACCAGGACTTGTCAGCAAGTAGGAGATGTGATTTACATGAGCATACAGCCACCTGCACGTGCTCTCACACAAAGCACACGCTCACATCTAGGAAGCGTCTCTCCAGTGGGAGAAGGGACATGACTGTGCTGGAAGGAAACCACCTGCGTCAAGTAATGGTTTGGTGTTATTTACTTGACCTCCCCAGAGCAACAAGGAGAATAAAGCAACAGATTTAAGGTCTTTGGGCCACATTGCATTTCCTGGTCTTTTCCTAGCTCAGGCAGCAGTTGAGCACTAAATGAAGGATTAATGCTCCAATTAAAGTCATTTTGCTCATAGTTTAGTCCAGATTCTGAGACTACTTATAACCCTTTTACATAAGACTCACCCCGTTGTGGAAATGGACTGGCAATCCAGTCTATTAGACATTCTGCATCAATTCTATTGGAGAGGCTGATGTTCCAGGGCTGGCACAGACTGCATGCACTGCCATAAAGCAAGGGGAGGTATGGCTGAGGACAGCTGACTTGCCTTAAGTCAACCTCAAAGCATTTCCTATGAGGTTTTTGGCAAAATTAGAACTAAAAATTATCTCATTCTCAAGCAAAGAAAATATTTCAGGTCCTTTTCAAGTTTTTTCCTAAAATCACAGTGGCAGAAATTTCAAAACAGACATTTTGGAACTAATTATTGTCTTCAATTACCTTTTTTTTTTAAGCAAGTTTGGATTTGTGGGGAATAATTTTTGTGTTGGTTCATTTAGTTGTTTGGTTTCTGTTGACGTGCATCTCTGCCTTCTGCAGAAAACAATGGTTGCTTTGAGTACACAAAACCTTTTGCCTTTAGAAATAAAGATGTGGGTTGCAGAATTCAGTCAGAAAGAACTTTGCCTATGTGGGCTTAGTGATGCACAGAACAAATTCTCTCCCCAAAAAGTAATGTTACATTTCTGGTAGAGGGCTAAACACATTTTTGAGTGAACAGTTAATGGACTTGAACACTAATGGGCATGGCTTGTTAAGAGCACTGGAACTTTGTAAAGGGGAATCATTCTTTGCAGAGAAGTTTTCAACATTTTCATATTAAATTTCTGCTTAATTTAAAATAAACTCCCCATGTTTATCCTGACAAAGCAATCGATCCTGACTTCTTGGACAGCTAGGCAGGCAGGCACGGAAGCTCAGGGAAGAAATGACTAATGGTGTTCTGGCCTCTTTCTGTCTCCTTTCCCACCCAGCAGGAAACATCACAACTTTTGACCAAAAATGTTTTAACATTTTCAGGTTCCTGATTCCCTGCCGGCAGCAGTCCTGATGTGCTGATGTGCTTCCCAGGAGCTGGTTCCCTTCGGACCACAGCATCTTGCAAGTCTAGTTTCCAGTGGAAATCTCATCATTAGAGGTTAATTATACTCTGCTTGGAGTTTGTCACACCTGAATCAAAACCTGATCCATCCCAGCAAAAATGTTTGAATTACTATGAATCAGCTTTTTCAACTGGGAAAACAAATAAACATTCCACTGTGGAGTTTTCAGCCAGCTTTACTGAAAAATGACCTTAAAATAGATTGTTGTGTCTTTCTACCTGGGAAATTTGGCAGATATTAATGGAATACGTGACAGATAGTGGTTTATATTTCCAAAAGTGGTTGGTAATCTTGGTTTAAGATAAAAACTTGGACTAGATGAAAACATTACAGAAACTGGCTGAAAACAGGAAAAGAACTAGGGAAATAAAAGCAGAACAGAATTTCTGAAACCCATGAGTAAGTTGTTAAGAGAGGCATTTCTTCTGCATGCAACCTTAACTACATTCACTCTAAATGACAAGTCATACTATTAACAGCACAGATTTTGCTCTGATTTTTTACAGGAGCTATCCATTACCTGAAGACTTGTTCACATGAGTGCAAAGCCTGTGATCCTCAGAGCCACAGAAAGTTTCAAGTAGTTATTTTTGGATGTTCAACTGCAGATACCCTGAAGGGACTTGATTTCCTGAGAAGGTGCTCAGCATTTAAGAAAATTAGATGCCTTTGAGATGCTGAAGACTTGGCTTTACCCTTTCCACCCTGAACTGTAGCTTTCAAGATGCATGGAAAGGTTTAAACCAGCTAGTGTAAGGTGGTAGGTAATTGGATATAACTGAATAGGGTACCTAAAGCCACGTGAAAATTACTAAACCTTTTTCTTTCCAACTCCAAACTCCTAACGGGCTGAATCACATCTGAAGAGTGTTAACCCTTAAGACCATCTTTAGCAGCAATCTGGATCCCCACTGAGGTAGTGCCTGATTTGTGGGTTTGCACGGTGAATGCATGAGACTGAATGGCTGCTTGGCAGAGTTTTGCTTTCTGAAGGGTGGACCAGGAAGTCAGCCTGATGAGGGGTGCAAGATTTCATCCTGTAAAACATCTGCCTGGCTGTGACTACCAGCATCTCTGGGCTTATTAAAGAAACTCCTCAATGATTCAGTTTGTTCTAGTCACCATGTCTGCAAAAGAATGTCAGAAATGCTGCTCGGAGCAAACTGGCACTTGTAACAATACAGTTATTCACTGGGGCATCACACAGCAGCAGAACCCTGGCATGGGGATGATCATTTCTGCTTCACAACTCACCGAGTGCAAACCTATCCAGGCCATGACGTTTTGAAAGCCCTGTCTCATTCCACATCTCTTAGGGAGATTTATGACAATTAGCTGCCGAATCCATAATTAGCAAGTGGTAACAGATCAGCAGATATATCCAGTTCTGGTGACACCTCTGACAGATTGACGTCTACTCCCCAAAATCCCTGCAAGGCTTCGTGTTTTCCCTGTGACCACTCTCAAACAGAGTTTTGGCAAGGTTGTCTCAGTGGGGAGGAGAGGGAGGGCTGGGGAGGAACAAGTTCACACAAGCATGACAGGACCTATGCATAACCATTTGGCTTGGCAATTAAAAACATGTTCTGTCTTCCTCTGCGTCACCAAGGAGAGCGTATAAGTAACAGTTGCTCTGCAAAGTGCCTTGAATTCAAACAAACCGTAAGGTTTGGCTTTCTGTACATGGGGTTTTGTTTGTTGAGAGAAAGGGAAGAAGAGTTTCAGGAACCTTTGGGGGAAGGAGAGAGAAAGGGGAAGTGGGAGAAAGAGGAGCTGCAGTCGTATTTGCACAGGGCCTGATGTTCAGACACTCCACAGTGAACACAGGGGTCAAGGAGAGACGGGTGAACCCCATCTACCCTGTCCAAAATCAAAGGATTTATAGTTCTTTAACTGCTGCCCTAAACAGAATCCAAAGTCTTCCTTCTATGTCAGCCTCAAATGGTATCTTCACTCTTTCTAGGCAAAGTATCCCAGATTCCTGACCCAGGTTTTTTTCCAACATCAACCCTTAATTTTAGGTTTCTGTATACCTCGTATCTCAATGTATCCCTCATTGTCAGATGCTAACCGCATACATGTTTCTCCTTTGCAGCCATAGCTTTAACTAAGCACTTTAATTTCTCAAACCCGGCTGGGCGTAACATTTAAAACCATCAAAACACTGTATTTATGCAGTGCATCGCTAGGGAAAAAATAAGATATGAAGGCAGGGGTTAGGTTAGGTCTTGTGTACAAGGTTAATCAGGGAGTGTGTAGCTGAGCCCCTATCCCCTGAATTGCAGCCTAGCTGGCTGTCATTGCCTGACTGACAAGAACCACATTCAGATCATCTTCTGTGAATTTGTAACAGAAAAACAACTGCTTATTGCATTGATTGCATTGGAAGCCTGATTTGCCTGTAATTGCTCTGACTCAATATGCCATTCTTGTCTGCATGACAAAGTGATTGATGTGCAATATGAATCCAGACCGGTGTCGTCTCCTCTAATGACACTTTCTGTTTTGTTTCATTTCTCATTTACAAACATAACTGTTGCACGATGACAGCTATTTGCACAAAAGGAAACTTCAGAAACTTCTTGCAGTGGCACGGGGGACATATTGGTGCTTCAGACTGGTACCTGGCAAGATTCATCTGTGGCTGTAAGACGGCCTGAGAAAGAAATATGCAAGTTAATGATTTTTTTAGTTGGAGGGGGCATGTTTTATGTTAACGTAGCTGCTGGAGGAAGAGATCTTGGGAAATTGCCAAACAATGATTTTTTTGGGCAGAACTAATGCAGCCTCTGCCCAAGAGTGGTCACAGTTCTGCTGTTTGCCAAACTGTGTTGGAAGAGCTCAGTGGAGAATCTTAACTCATTTTTAGGTTAGCTCTTACTAATCTACATTTTGTTGATGTAGATAAATAAATAGGACAGATAGAAAGATACCACAAGAGAAAAAGAAGAAAAAAAAACCCAAACAGGAAAAAAAGAGCAAACCCTCACTCTTTCATCAAATGGAAAACAATCCTTTTTTTTCTCTTTGTTTTTGTTTCATTTTCTGCTCTCTTGTGCTATTGTAAGCCACATGAGGCTTGGCTCGTCCTTCACTACGGCTGTGCCTTGTTTCTTATGTGTGCCAGGGCAGGACTGATTTGTATTCCCAATGCCAAAAGGTACAGGCAAGCTTCCTTACCCCTCTCTGTAGAAGATTCTTCTTGAGTAAGCTCTAAAACCAAGTCAGGCAATTAGGTGGCAATTCAGCAGTGAGGACAATTGTCAAGCAGTGCTTGATCTGAGTGTGTGGCCTTCATTTGTTCAGAAGCACAAAGGTCTAAACCTATATGTCAGCACCAAAAAAGCCTGCACATGCTTTTTGACCTTACTGTACGCCTCCAGGATGCTGTGAATACGCACAGTGATCACTGCCTTTATCCAACAGCAATGTGAGTCAAGGTGAAGATCCACGGAGGTATTTGGAGGTGCATTTGTTTTCAAAGGAACCTGGTCTCAATGTTTTCGGACCCCTTGGCCCCACTGCACCTTCTGAACACTTTGAAAATTCTGGGTCGCTGTCACCAGTTTCTGTAAGGAGAAAAACAACTTGTCTACATACTTTTGCAAATCTGGGACTTGAGAGCCCAACTTGAGCTGTTCCATTTGGCAGCCTTGCCCTTGCTTCTGGTTAGAGACTAATCCAGAAGAAGAAACTGGTTTCATGGCTCTTTATAAATAACAAGTGGAAAAAAAAACACATTATGTAGCAGGAATTCTATATATCAAAACTAAGACATCGTATAATTCAGTAATAAGTTGTTCAGGCAATCTCTTCATGGTCTGTAGCTGCTTATGACATGTTAGAGTCTGTTGCAAGCTCAATGTTTTCTAGTGATGGAGCTTTTCTCATCCACCTTCTTCCTTTGCTTTTATACATATTTATTGCCTTATCATAGTCAAACCTGAACAAAATAACCCCCCCAAAATACAATTTTTCTATTTCGCAAAGAATTTTATTTTACAGAAACAACCACTGGTTTGTTAAAGGAGTTGTTTGCAAGATAACTAGATTAGATTAATTAGTTAATGTTTGTAAAGTACTTTGAAGATTAAGAACACTATATAAGTGTTAAGTATTATTGTTATTATAATAGATAGAGAAGGTAGATAGCTAGATAGGTAAAGAGATACAGCAGTCAGATAACAATAATTATAATACTTAGCATTTCTATAGGGCTTTACATCTTTTGAGTGTTTTACAAACATTAACTAATTAATAGAGTTAAGCAGACAGATAGTAGATAAAATAGTAGGTAGATTGATAGATAGGAACAGATTTTGCCTTTGGATATATGAATGGTAAAGTCAATGGAAGTTGCATCCCATTGATGAGGGCAGAATTTGGTCCATAGACAAATTTAAAGGCAAATTAGCTAGCTTTTCAAGTGTTGGGTTGGGTTTTTTCCACAGTTTGTCTTCCCAGTGAGTAGATTCACTGTGGGAACAGAAAGTATAGTGGAATATTGAAATGAACGTATCAAACCTGTCAAACTTTACAATGACATATAATGGAATTAAAGCTTAAGATTAGTCACTTCAGAGTGCCAGTGACTCAGCTTTGCCACATCTGAAATGATACATCATGCCTTTAGGAAGCACCGTCATGTTGCTGGATGAAATGGTATTATCAGCTTGCTCATGTACATCCTGATTCTTCATGCCTTGATGAAAATGCAGAAGTATGATCTACTGTCTGAGAAAAAAAAATAGGAATTAGAGCCAAATGTAAGGCTATTTTATTTTAATTAAATAAATCTGATATTGATTAAAATAAGAAAAGTTATATAAAAATGGGTAAGACACTTGTTTCCCTTGAAGTTCTCTCTTCTTGAACACTGATGTTTCTGAAACAACTTAGCCCCCAAGCTGTACAGGTATGCAGGACACTAACTGCTGCTTTTTGAAATGAGGTTCAAGTCCTGGGTTCCTTTGAGATCCATCAACAGTGTTGCCTTCTTCTATTAGGTCGGGACTCTCAGCTGCTCTGAATTGTCTCCCATGGATGCAACTGGTATTTTACTTCTGCAAAACTTTTCTGCCACTGGGTCTATGCAGAATCATCTCATGTCTTCAGGGCAATCAGAACCACAGACCACAAATAGATCTCAATGAAATAGTAAAACACAGGAGGAGAAGAAGCCATCTCACTTAATTCTTGACAGCTATGGTATAGAAACCTACATCTGAGCTTGATGCTCTAGGCTTCCTTAAACAGCCAACAGAGCAAGAAGCACTTAAAAGATAAGTTTCATCTGCTTTGTATTTATGTTTACATTAGGATGAGATGAACTGCTGCCTAGAAAGTCTTGTTTCTCTCCATTGACTGCCAGGGAAGCCCAGGTGATTATCTCAGATGAGGCCAGCTCTGTTGTAGATATTTCAAGTGCGATGAGACAAACCCCGTTCTGATGGGTTGACCTTGGTTGGCTGCTGAGTGATCACCAAGCTGCTCTGTCACTCTCCTTTCTCAACAGGACAAGGAGAGAAAATAGAGTGAAAAACTGGAGACAGGGTAAGGGCAAGGACATCACTTAGCAGTTATAGTCATGGACAAAACAGATTCGACTTAGTGAAATTATTTGAATTTATTTCTAATTAATCAGAGTAGGATAATGAGAAAGAAGAACAGAACTACAACCACCTGCCCCCTTTCTTTCCAGGTTCAACTTCATTCCCACAACTCTTCTATGATGTCCCCCCTCAAAGTGGCACAGGGGGAAGCAAAATGGGGTATGGTATCCCCTGATGTACATTCCTTCATGAACTTCTCCAGTGTGAGCCCTCCTCATGGGCTGTAGATCTTCACAGACTGCTCCAGCATGGATCCTTTTCACAGGGTATAGTCCTTCAGGAATGGACTGCTCATGTGCAGATCCCACAGAAATTTACTTGAAAACTTATTCCTGGGCTCCTTTCCTTGGGCTGTAGGTCCTGACAGTTGCTTTCTCCAGCATGGGTTCTCCATAGGCTTCACCTTTCTCCAGGACACATCCACCTGCATGGGGTCCTCAATGGGCTGCAGATGGATATCTGCTCCACTGCTATAACCTCCATGGGCTGCAAGGGCACAACCTGTGTCTCCTCAATGGGTTATAAGGGGAACCTCTATTTTGGCACTTGGAGCACCTCCCCTCCTCCTTCTTCACTGACCTTGGTGTCTGCTGAGTGTCTTTCTCATATTTTTTCCCTTTTTTTCTCCCACCTCCCATAAAGCATATTTTTACCCTTCCTTAAATATGTTATTGCAAAGATGCTGGGCTCAGCCACCAGCAGGAACTGGCTCTGTCCAACATGGGGGCAGCTTCTGGTGTCCTCATGGAAGCCTCCCCTGCAGTCCCCCTACTACCAAAACCTTGAAACCTAAACCCAGTAAATCTACACTAAATGTTCCTCCTTCCACTTTATCTGTGAGATCTACCTAGTGGATTTCCCTAAGCATATCTGCCCAAGCAGTCTCACAAGGATTGGTAGTGAGGTTTCTTGAAAATTAGTGGGAAAGTCATTGGCCAAAAGGCAATAGGTGAGCCCACATGCTGGTCTTTACCACTTTTACAGAGATAACAACACCAGTGTGTACCTGCTCTTCTCTGGTGGGTGTGAGACACAGCTACATCATGTTTAGAGGCCAGAAAGACATAAGATCAAGAACATATCTTACCTACCTCCTTATCCTTTATCCTGGACAAAGGCCCTATACAATGAAGTTAGCAACAACATACATTTCCTTTCAGTAGCACAATCTGTCAGTGGTGGGAAAGTTACTATTATGAAGCAAAGGCAGAAAGCAATAAGCCATCCATCTAACTCAGCCAAAAAAGGCAACATTCAAATATTGTACAGAACAAACACTGTACAGAACAAATACACCATTCATCAACACAATAACTCTTTGATCATCTAAAGAAGCATAAAAAATTAAGCAGGCAAGCAAGAGGAAGAAATAGTGGCAATGCCCTTCTTTTACTAAGGATGGACAGCACACACCTTGGTAATTAAAACTCATAGCTTTCTTCTCAAGGAACTTGAACACAAGTCTTAAGTTATGGGTGAATATTCACAGTGCAAGGTTTCAAGACAGACCTGTCTGAAGTTCTCTTGTTGGAGCAGTTTTATTTGTATGCCATATTTCATTATTTCCTGTGTCATGGGGAGAGTGACTTTCTAGTTTAGTGGTTAGTGCGCTCACCTGGAAGGGGAAGTCCTCAGTTCCTGTACCAGCTTCTGGTAATGTTTCTGTATTTTTCATTTAAGTATTCATTGATGTGGATAATGGAAGCCAGGCTTCTGCTCCCAAATGAAAGACTATACCACTAAGGTACAGAGTCATTTGCATAGGCTTGCCATCTTCCTGTTCCCATGAATATTTAATTAACCTATGCAAAGTGAAATGGTTTCAATATGAGGAACTGAGAAAGCCCTGCCCTAGAATATTCTTTAACCTAGTGGTTAGAGCAGTCAGGGAAGTGGAGAGACAAGTTCAAATCCCCTTAAGCAGAAGAGGGAACTGAACCTGCCTCTTCCAGAGTTTGGTGGGTATTCACAACAACATTATTGGTGAGAAAAAGTAACATCTCTGCTTCCTTTTCTTGCCTCAGCTAATGGGACGCCTTGCCAAA